ATGTGCAACCAGAGGGGGAAAAAAACTCTTGACCACCATTACTCCACACACAGAGATGCATACAAAGCTCTCCCTCGCCCTCCATTTGGCAAATCTGACCATAATTCTATCCTCCTGATTCCTGATTACAAGCAAAAACCAAGCAGGAAGTACTAGTGACTCGCTCAATACGGAAGTGGTCAGATGATGTGGATGCTACGCTACATGACTGTTTTGCTAGCACTGACTGGAATATTGTCCGGGATTCATCCAATGGCATTGAGGAGTATACCACCTCAGTCACCGGCTTAATAAGTGCATCGACGACGTCGTCCCCACATTGACCGTACGTACATATCCCAACCAGAAGCCATGGATTACAGGCAACATCCGCACCGAGCTAAAGGCTAGAGCTGCTGCTTTCAAGGAGCGGGACACTAATCCGGATTACCAGGACGTGTACTCAGAGCATGCGCGGACCAACTGGCAAGTGTCTTCACTGATACTTTCAACCTCTCCCTTACCGAGTCTGTAATACCTACATGTTTCAAGCACACCACCATAGTCCCTGTGCCCAAGAATGTGAAGGTAACCTGCCTAAATGACTACCACCCTGTAGCACTAACGTCGGTAGACATGAAGTGCTTTGAAAGGCTGGTCATGGCTCACATCAACACCATCATCCCGGAAACCCTAGACCCACTCCAATTCGCATACCGTCCCAACATATCCACAGATGACGCAACCTCAATCGCACTCCAAACTGCCCTTTCCCACCTGGACAACAGGAACACCTATATGAGAATGCTGTTAATTGACTACAGCTCAGCGTTCAACACCATAGTGCCCACAAAGCTCATCACTAAGCTAAGGACCCTGGGACTCAACACCTCCCTCTGAAACTGGATCCTGGACTTCCTGACGGGCCGCCCCCAGGTGGTAAGGGTAGGCAACAACACATCTGCCATGCTGATCCTCAACACGGGAGCCCCTCAGGGGTACGTGCTTAGTCCCCTCCTGTACTCCCTGTTCACCCACGACTGCGTGGCCAAGCACGACTCCAACACCATCATTAAGTTTGCTGACGACTTAACGGTGGTAGGCCTGAACAACGATGAGACAGCCTATAGGGAGGAGGTCAGAGACCTGGCTGTGTGGTGCCAGGACAACAACCTCTCCCTCAATGTGAGCAAGACAAATGAGCTGATCGTAGACTACAGGAAAAGTAGGGCCGAACAGGCCCCCATTAACATTGACGGGGCTGTAGTGGAGCGAGTCGAGAGTTTCAAGTTCCTTGGTGTCCTCATCACCAACAAACTATCATGGTCCAAACACACCAAGACAGTTGTGAAGAAGGCACGACAACACCTTTTCCCCCTCAGGAGACAGAAAAGATTTGGCATGGGTCCGCAGATCCTCAAAAGTTATACAGCTGCATCATCGAGAGCATCCTGACGGATTGCATCGCCACCTGGTATGGCAACTGTCGGCATCTGCTCGGCATCTGCGTACGGCCCAGTACATTACTGGGGCCAAGCTTCCTGCCGTCCAGGACCTATATACCAGGCGGTGTCAGAGGAAGGCCCAAACAGTTGTCAAAGACTCCAGTCACCCAAGTCATAGACTGTTCTCTCTGCTACCGCATGGCAAGCGGTACCGGAGTGCCAAGTCTAGGTTCAAAAGGCTCCTTAACAGCTTCTACCCCCAAGCCGTAAGACTGCTGAACAGTTAATCAAATGGCCACCCGGACTATTTGCATTGACACCCCATTCCCCCTTTGTTTTTACACTGCTGCTACTCGCTGTTTATTATCCATGCATAGTAACTTTACCCCTACCTACATGTACAAATTACCTCGACTAACCTATACCCCCGTACGTTGACTCGGTACCGGTACCCTGTGTATATAGCCTCGTTATTGTTATGCAATTTTATTGTGTTACTTTTTGTTTTATTTATTTTATTTTTTACTTTGGTTTATTTAGTAAATATTTTAACTCTATTTCATGAACTGCATTGTTGGTTAAGGGCTTGTAAGTAAGCATTTCATGGTAAGGTCTACACCTGTTGTATTCGGCACATGTCACAACCAAAATTTGATTTGATTTAATTAGAGGGGAACAATGAAAAAACGCAGTTGAACTGGCTTCGAGGTCCGGAGTTGAGTTTGAAGGTCCTAGAGACACAGTTCCTAAAAGCTTAAGCAATTATTCACCAATCTAGTACATTTAATACATTTTAGAGAATTTTTTAGAACATCATAGACGTAGTTGATCTCAGATTATGGTTAAATACCACTAATCCTTGTTAAGAGCCCGCTAGTAATTATTTCAAGTGACTTTACTGTACTGTAGTCTGATGCCTGATAAATGTCTATTATTGATGATGTGGTTTTACAACCGAGCCATTCTTGGTATGGATTACATCATGCACCGTTGCAGCCAATCGTCTGGTCCGCTGGTGCCTCCCTGATCTTAGCTCCAGCAGCATATGTTGGAAAACAATAAACCAGCGAGCCACCTAGTGAAACCTTGAAAAGGGAAGTGTTGCAATAGCTGCTGTGTGTTTTGTGTTCTTCCTGAAGCCACACTAGTGTAGGAGAGAGAGGCGTGTGAGGCCCAGGGAGAGGTTTGTGTCCCTATGTAGTGGATTACTTTGACCTGTAGTGTAGGAGGGAGAGGAGAGGGAGACGCGCACACACACACACACACACACATCTGGACAGTGCCCTCACCCCCCTCCGTCTGTTAATGTCTACTTTTCTGCCAGACCATGGCATCAAATTAAGTGTGGTCAACCTACCGTTTCATTTTCACTTAACCTTTATTTTTACAGGTTAGTCTAATTGAGATTAAACTATTTTTTACAATGAGACCTGTACAGTGTTAATGTAACCAGGCATGTAGCCAGTGTGGCTGGTGTATGAAAACAAAATTCACCAGCCACTCAGACTATATACTGTAAGTAGCTACATACCAGCCACATTTTCAGAGCAGGTTTATTTAACACACTTTAATTCATTCAATAGTAAATGTAGATACTATCTAAATGCATTCATAGTAGATGTAGGCAAGTATTTAAATGCACTACATAAGAGTGCTGATGTTGGAGTTTTCTTGTTGAGTAGGTGAGTGTTAGAAGTGAATCAGAAGCCGCGTAGCCGCCCTTATAATATCGTTTGTTTGTGTTTTCTTTTGGTATCTTCTTCCAGGAGGATCATGTCAGGACAACTTTAAAGCTGCAGCTCCTCAGCATCTTTTGGGGTTTTCATACTCTGAAATGTTATTATATTCTGCAAAACCTCATCAGACAGTTTCATAATGTCTCTCAACTTCACCTTAGAAATAGATTGTTGAATTACACAGAGCTGTTTGACCTCTTTCTAATCACAGACAATTTAACCTAAATTCTATATTGATTTTAAGGATTCCAGAATTGTAGTCTTATGTTCTAGAATGACCTGTAACTCCAGACAGTAGATTGTAATGGACAATGTTTTTTCTTTTAGTTTTGCTAAAGTTGTATGTGCTATTTCAACAGAGCATTTTGTTCCAGCACCTACAGTTAACCTCTCACAGGCTACAGTAGATGACTGTTTAGGAATATACAATGATGTGTTAGTTTCTAATTCACTAAGATGTTATTTCATTACTTTTTATTGCTGTGTTATATGATCCATTGCTGGCTATTCAGTGGTTTGCTCCAGCACCTACAGAGTTAACCTCCCAGCAGGACTGTCCTATGACTCAATCCTGACCTTTGATTTTAACTCTGTCTGCCTGTTGTTAGTTAATCACCCCTGTTATTTCTTCATGCACAGGAGCGGTGGTACAAACAACAATTAAAGCTTTAATTCCTTTTCCTTGCTTGGGGGTTCTGCTGTTCTGAGGAACATAACTACATCATAGTTAGCCCCCCTCTCTCACTCTCCTAATGGTCCTTTAAAGTCCATCTCTGTTCGACTCTGTCAGTGGTGGTGTGAGATATTATTGGTCAGTGGAAATCTTCAGCCGTGATCCTGTTGTAGATTATACAGTACCCCCGAGGCACAGACTGTCTCCATGTGTCTGTGTGAGTTAGTCCAGCAGCCCCTGTCTGTCTGCCTGTCCGTGTGTGTGTATGTGGCTGGTTTCCATGGTAACTCCATCGGTTTGTGTGATGTTCCCAAAACATCTCCTCTTAGTTTTTTTTTTCTCCAAAGTTGATAGGAAGGACTCTTAACAGCTAGGTTGCTGCCCTAATGGCACCCTATTTCCTATGGGCCCTGGTCAAAACTAGTGTACTATATTAGGAATAAGGTGCCATTTGAGCTCAGGCAGCCCTAGACTAGACTACCTGTGGTGTTATGGATGGAATAGCATATGAACACCCCTCGACTGTCCATGAACTCTCTTACATCTGTGACGGTTGTCCCTGTTCTACACCGTTGTGACATCAGAGGTATTATTTGTTTGCATCAATGTTCAGTCAGAGCAAAAACTCAATGTTAGTCATCATAGATTCTGTTACAGGTGAATCATGATTTGTCTCTGGAGAGTAACCAGAATTCTACAGATGAGCATAAAGTTATATGATGAAAGCCTAACCACCAACACTCACTGCTGTGTGGTAGGGTTGAATATTTTCCTGGTATTTTACAAATGTTCCATCCCGAGAATAAATCACTTTGAGATCTACCTCAATCAACCAAGTTGTTAGTGGTATTAAATCGGATAAATAATGAGGCAAATAGCAGTACTTTAGCTGTTTAGTTTTAATCCGTTTTTTTTTGTGAAACGCACCAAACAAGCGACCTAACCCTCAATGGATACAGCGAGCCGCAACTGCGGATATCATACACGAGATGTCCTGCTTAATATCCGACCCTTTGCTCCAAGTCTACACTGCAATGGAATACCACCATTAATACAATCAACATGTTCACAAGGAAAGGCTTCTAAACCAAGGAAGCGTGGCAGTAGAGGAGGAATTCAGAATTGGATTTTAAAAAACAGCCCTTCAGAACACCTCTTTCCTCTATTATGCATGGCAATGTACAAAGCATAAGGAATAAGACTGATGAGCTACGCGCTTGTACCCAATACCTCTCAGAGTACCGACAATCCTGCTTGATCTGTCTATCTGAGACCTGGCTTACGGAACAGGATCCCGACTCCGTTGTGGAGCTGCATGGCTACACAATTGTTCTAATGGACCAAAACAGCAACTCTGGTAAGAGAAATGGTGGTGGAGTTGGTGCATTCATCAACGAGAAATATTGCAATCCTGCCCATATTACAACTAAGCACAAGGTCTGTACTAAAGACATTGAACTCCTTGCTCTTAAGCTATGGCCATACTACCTGCAATGGGAAATAAATCAGGTCAGATTATTTATTGTTTGCATAGCCCCCTCCGCTGACACCCAAATAGCTGCCGACTTAATTCATGACCTTGTATCCCAGGCTGAGACAGTCACCTGAAGCAGTAAAGCGAAACATTTACCATCATATCAGCAATATGTTACATGTCCTACCCGAAATTATGCCTGTCTGGGCCTCTGTTATGGTAACATCCCAGGTGCGTATTTTTCAAAGGCACTACCCAATCTTGGGGGTTCGGATCATAACATGGTTCAGCTCATCCCAGTCTACAAAGCGCGTCTGCAGCGAGAGAAGGCTAGAAAGGTGGAGATGAAAAGCTGGACTCCTGAAGTGACTGAAGCCCTCCAGGACTGTTTTGAGTCCACTGACTGGGCGGCCCTGATGGACAGCGCCGATGACCTGGAAGAGGCAGCGGATACCGTCTCTGAGCACATCTGTTTCTGTGAGGATCTCGTTATTCCCTAAATGAAAGTCAACATCTTCCCCAATAATAAACCGTGGGTAGCTCGGGAATTAAAAGAGCTCCTCAACTGTGTTTAAATCAGGTGTCAGTAAAGATGAAAGGAAAAATATTCAGAGGCAACTCAAAAGCAACATTAAGGAGTGCAAGGTAGCATACAAAGACAAATTAGAAAACCTTTTCAAGGACAGTAGGAAAGCCTGGCAAGGGCTACAAACCATCACAGGCTACAAACCAGAGACATTTTATGACCGTCAAATGACCTTGCTTTTGCAAATTATTTGAACAGTTTCTATTGTAGGTTTGACGTGTGATTTTTACATCGCTGCAGAAAGTGGCCTTGGACAGTATAGACTGCATACCAGCTGTTGATATACAGATCTCTGTGAATGACGTCAAGCAGTACTTTCAACGTGTCAACCCACGAAAATCATATGGTCCAGACGGCGTCAGCAGCAAGGCACTTCAGGCATGCGCAGACCAGCTCGCATTACCGTTCCAGAAGCTGTTCCAGCCGTCACTGAACAGTGGGATAATTCCAGACTTATGGATGTCACTGATTGTCCCAATACCTAAAAACAACAGGCCAAAAGAAAATAACGATTTACGCCATGTAGCCCTGACATCTGTACCTAATGAAATGTTTTTAAAAAATATTTCAAAAACAAATTCTCTCATCCCAATTAGACTCAAACCAATTCGCCTACCGTGCCTCCAGGGGTGTTGATGATGTGTTACTGGTCATGCTGAACAATATCTAAGAACATTTAGAAAAAGCAAATCGTCTAGTGGAAATTGTATTCATTGACTTCAGTAGCGCATTTAACACCATCCAACCCCACCTACTGGTGGATAAGCTGGTGAGTTTGGGTGTCAACTCTCTAATGATCAAGTGGATTAATAGTTTCCTTGTGAACCGTACTCAACAAGTTAAGTTTAACTCCGCCATCTCTACATCTAGAACGGTGAATACGGGAGCCCCTCAAGGTTGCGTACTTTCACCGATACTGTACACAAACAATTGTGAAGCCTCTGACACGGCCCACAAATTGTTTGAATATGCAGATGACACCGCTGTTGTGGGTTTCCTCCATCCAGACCAAGCCTCTCTTAAAGGTTTTGACAGAGAAACGGCAAAATTCGTACAGTGGTGTGCAGATAACTTTATTGAAATAAACTTTAAGAAAACGAAAGAGATGGAAATTGATTTTAGAAGGAACAAAGCTCCACTACCCCCTACGAAGATCAATATGGAATCAGTCGATAGGTTGACCACATACAAGTACCTGGGAATTGAAATAGACAAACTGAAATTCAATGACTGTGCCTTTGCAAAGATAAAGAAATTGCAACAGGGAATGTTTTTTGTTTTTAACACAAACTGAACCATTTTAATGTTGACCGCCATATCTTACAAGTGTTCTATAAATCTGTCCTGCAGAGTGTGCTGTCCTTTGGTCTGATATGCAATGTTCGGAAACATGCAAGACCAAGTCAAGCTTCAAGACGGCGGGAAGGATAATTGGTATAGATCAAGAATCCGCCACAAACCTGTACACAACTCATCCTCCTAAAACTTGAAAGCATTTTACAGGACAGTACTCATCCCCTTTCAGTCACAGAATCAGCCGGACAAGGGGAAAGAGACTTCAAATTAAAACAAATATGGGGACTCTTTTATTCCAACAGCCATTAGGCTGTATAATAGATAGTCTGTTGGTCCCTCGAGTATACAGCATATTGCACTTTCACTTTAAATGTGTAGCTGTAGCACTTCGAATTAATTGTTTTGTGTAGTTTCGGTGTTTTCATGTTTTATGTACTGTCTTTTTATGCACATTACCAAATTAATTTCCCCCTGGTGGGATAATAAAGTTAATCTGAATCTAGGTAAGTATTTTCCGCCAAAACTGCAAGTGTCCTTCTAAAGCATATAAAGCATGTCTGGATTTGATTAGTGCTTTTATCAGCGTGAAAATTCAAGCATGATGCTACCTGAGCCTGATGAGCTATACATTAAATACATTTTATGAGCCCAAGCCCAAAAAATCCCAAATGATGATCCAATACATAGCATAGCCTATGATATATAGGCTACCCCACATTACACACGGCAGAAAAACATAAAAGGCCATAGATGTAGCTATGCTCTCTTGTGTAAATAAATTAAACAAGCTCCAGTAGGCTAATCTTTCTGAGTGTGGACTTTGTTACTGTATGGGCATTCCACTCTTATATTACCAGGGTTCAATACTGCGACCAAAACAGTCACATTTGCGACCGTTTGAGTTGGCAGTACAACATATTTTTTATTGGTCGCAAGGGTGCCAGTGAAGAAATGTACCTGGTCACATTAGATTTTGGTTCACAATTTTTCTTTATAATTTTTTTTATTATGATTTATTCATTGTGCAATTGACCAGAAATAAACTACCTTTCTGAAGAGGCAACAATGGCACGGGACTGCCCCTGGCTGTGTGTGTAGAGCCTACACTGTAAAACTTGGGTATAAAATTTATTTAATTGTTATTTTTTTGTCACCGATCTACACTGTCAAAGTGGAAGAAATATTCTAACATTTGTAAAACATTTATGAAAAATGAAACACTAATATACAGTGGGGAGAACAAGTATTTGTACAGTGCCGATTTTGCAGGTTTTCCTACTTACAAAGCATGTAGCGGTCTGTCATTTTTATCATAGGTACACTTCAACTGTGAGAGACGGAATCTAAAACAAAAATCCAGAAAATCACATTGTATGATTTTTAAGTAATTAATTTGCATTTTATTGCTCTTGGCAGTTGTTCACATTGGCAGTTTGAAGTGACACAAATCCTATTGATTTGCATATCCGATTCGAATGTTCTTTTTCCTGCAGTCTGAACAGCCACATTTGAAAACACCTTCCTAGGTGGTTTGAAGTCAGATACAAATCTGATCCCTGTCCATGTGACTTGTCTGAATGGTCAAATCTGATTTATTTGCCCTCAAGTGGTTTTTAGACTGTTATTCTGCATTTCTTGTTGCTTGCTAGTAGCTACTCTGTTGACAGTTTGACATGAACATGTGGTAGATAACTAGCTTGTTAATTGTTTACAAACAAATTAGTGAATGTGCTAGAACGCTAAACGGCTACCCAGCTAGCTAGTTCACTGCTGTGGCTAGCCAAAAAGGACTCATTTTGAAAGTGGGATCATCTTATCCTGTGAGGCTTTTAAAGTGTTTTTAACATGTGATTTTGAACATTAAAAGCAACTGGGAAACATCCATGGCAGGCATTTTCACCTTAGCTTGCTACATAACTTCTGAGTGATAGGAAGCACGAGCACCACCACCAATCAGCCTACACCACTGTACACATACCTGTCGTTACTATGACAACTACTTCATCCCCTTTGGTCACTTGCAACTTGCTATTTGGACAGTCCGTAGTCCAAAACGGATTTAAAAAACAAAACTGATTTGAGCATTAAGGTCTGCAGTGTGAACAAGGCTTTAGAAACGGACCCAGAAAGACTCACACCTGTAATCACTGCCAAGCAGCATTATAAGGCTGCGTTGAGACAATTACTTATCAATGACCCAAGCCCAGCTCAGTTAATCCCTACCATTTGACGCTGAGTTGTCATAATGCTTCAGCAAATGTACATTATACCAGAGGCGTTGTTAGACACAATGTAAATAACCTAATTTATGTCCCTCTAACTGCCCTGAATGCTTCTGCTGATCCTACAGCTATTGTATGCAGTAATCATGTGCATCTGAACCATACTTATACTGTTCGCACTGAGGCGGTGTTTCCCTAGTAGAAAGTCCACTGTGTGCAGCTCACCCTGCACTAACATAAATAACATGAGCATATCTGCTTCTGATAAGCTTCCCAGTAAAGCAATGAAAACAAGTAAGCATCCCGGAAGAAAAGTGCTCAAAAATAGCCTGTGTTAACAAGGTTCATGAAATCAATAATTTGCTAGTAACAGATGACATTCATATTCTGACAATCTCTGAAACTCTCTTATATAATACATTTTATGATACAGTGGTAGCAACACAAGGTTATAACATTTGCAGAAAAGACAGAAATGCAAATGGTGTAGGTGTTGTTGTTTATATACAGAACCACATTGCTGTAAAGCTTAGACAGGATCTCATGTTAAATACTGTTGAAGTAATATGGCGATCTGTGGCATTGTGTTGTGTGACACAACTGCACATTTTAGTGGCCTTTTATTGTCCCCAGCACAAGGTGCACCCGTGTAATGATCATGCTGTTAAATCAGCTTCTTGATATGCCACACCTGTCAGATGGATGGATTATCTTGGCAAAGTAGAAATGCTCACTAAGAGGGATGTAAACAAATTTGTGCACCAAATCTGAGAGAAATAAGCTTTTTGTGCGTATGGAAAATTTGTAGGATCTTTTATTTGAGCTCATGAAACATGTGACCAACACTTTTTACATGTTGTGTTTATATTTTTGTTCAGTGTAGTTACTTAAATTACAGCCTCGGCCCCATGCCAAGTAAGAGTAGAGTTGTCAGTTGTGATAACAGAGCTAACTTCCGTATTAGAATAGAATGTGGGCAGCAACCAATGACAGCGACCCTTATTAGAATAGGGATTACAGCCAATGACAGTGCTCAATACTAGAATGTGGGTAACACCCAGATATGTGGTTGCTGAACCAACTGTCTGCAGAGAGGCATGGGTTTCATCAAACCAAGATACTGTAGATACATAACCACATATTTTGCCGTGAAATAGTTTCTTCTCAATCCAGACTATTTTGGTCTATTTTTATTCAATGCCTTGGTCTCTTTGCCCTAAAACTGGTTTTGCAATTAAGGTTATATTAAAATATTACACAATTCACTTTCTCTGAACTATGCATAGTGTACTGTACAACCATTTCATGAAGTAGCTGTTTGGTAGATTTTATCTATTGTATTTAACCCTTAATCAATGTTGGTCAGTTAAGAATAATTTCTCATTTGCAGAAATAATGAGCTGGCCAAGATATCATCAATATTCTCATGAATCTACTTAGGCTACAGATAGCATCTTAATCAGGATTATGTGGCTCTTGCTCGTGTTCACTGTCTACATTCATTTAATTCACATTCAGTACAACACAATAGATAACCCCTGAGGGGATAAATACAAAAGTTGTATTGAATTGAAGATTTTCATAATGAACTTAAGTAGGCTGTAGTAAGCAAAATAAACGATAACCTACTGCGGTTTATTTTCTTTTAAATGGTTGAATGTAATTTATAAAAAGCTAAACTCTTGGGGATATAAATTGCAGAGCCTAACTGATCATTAATGTGTAGAAAGTTTAATTTTTTTCCCCAGGAGGTAAAAAATAACATGGCATGAATAATGTGCTCACTCAGATTATTCCTCAAAAGTGATTTGGTTGCTGAATCTTCGTTAATGAAGTCCATAGAAATGAGATGGACAACACACCAAAAAATGTGCAGACCAATAAACGTCTTGACAGAATATTTTTGATGTGCCATACTATTCCCGCCTGAATCCCATATCCCATCTAATCGGTTTGTCTCCTCCCCTCCCCTCTCCTGCTCCCCTGAAGTCTCCCCGGGAATCTGCAACAGTAAGGACATCCGGAACAACGTGACCAACCTGCGCTCCCTGGAGAACTGCACGGTCATCGAGGGCCACCTGAAAATCATCCTCATGTTCAAGACCAAGCCCGAGGACTTCAGGGGCCTCAGTTACCCCAAACTGACCGTGGTCACAGACTTCCTCCTCCTGTTCAGGGTCTACGGAATGGAGAGCCTCAAAGACCTCTTCCCTAATCTCACTGTGATCCGAGGTAACAACCTGTTCTTCAACTACGCTCTGGTCTTCTTTGAAATGCTGCAGCTCAGGGATATCGGCCTCCAAAGCCTGATGAATATCACTAGAGGAGCGGTTAGAATCGAGAAGAACCCGGACCTCTGCTACCTCTCCACGCTGGACTGGTCCAAGATCCTGGACACGGTGGAGGACAACTACATCGTAGCCAATAAGAATGACCGGGAGTGCGGAGACGTGTGTCCAGGGGCGGCCAAGGGGAAGACCACCTGTCAGCAGACCACCATCAACGGCCTCTTCAGCGAACGCTGCTGGACGCACAAGCACTGCCAGAGAAGTAAGTCACTGGGTTCTTATTTAATTTATCCTGTATTTAACCAGGACGTCCCATTGATGTCAGAAGACCTCTTTTACAAGGGAGACCTGACAGTCTTTGGTGCATGATGGAGGGAGTGTTTGTATTTAAATGCATGTAAAATCACACACTAGGATAGATCTTTCCTTGTCTGCAGTTATTCCATGTTTTGGATACTCAGTTTTTCCTGCCATAACCTCACTTTGGTAAAAGACCCACTGCTGTGCACAGGGCTTGTACTTGTTTTAATGTGTCAGGTTATTTATATTTGAGTGTTTTGCTATTTATAAGTGAAAGTAGATCAGTGATCTTATCTGATTGAGGTGAATCTGGAAGGGGAGAGGGGGTGGGAGGAAGGGGAGAGGGGGTGGGAGGAAGGGGAGAGGGGGTGGGAGGAAGGGGAGGGGGTAGGAGGGAGGGGGGAGGGGAGGGGGAGAGGGGGTGGGAGGAAGGGGAGGGAGGGCGGGGAAAGAGTGGAGAGAGAGAGGGGGAGCGATCGAGAATGGGGGAAGTGTGTGAAAGAGATCGAGAGTGGGGGAAGTGTGTGTGTGAGAGAGAGAGAGATGTAGAGAGAATGATTGAGAGAAAGAGAGTGTGTGTGAGACGGAGAGAGAGAGAGTGGGAGCTCTCAGGTTGCAGTGATGTCACTTAAAATTCAAAGACCATGTCTCCAGGGGAGTCAGATTAAGGAGAAGAATTGTTAGAAAGCGAGAGTGGAGTGTGTGTGTGCGAGTCAGACAGAGTGCTGTAGTCTTGCCAAGACACTTACTCACTCACTCACCCGTGTCCTTTAGCGTAGGACGGCCAGCTGCAGAGCCAAGAAGTCATATGCTAACTATTAGGGGTGTAACGGTACCGTTCGGTATGGGGGCCTCGGTTCGGTCCGCACTGTGAACCCAAATGAATGCATAAAAAAACGAATAATAATAATAACACTAAGCCTATTGGCTATGCCTACACTGCTTTGTAGTGCCTCTTGAGGAAATATGAGCTGAAAACACATTTGAGGCTATTCCATTAAAACAACTAGAGCCTATGTGCACGTTGTACTTCAAATTAAAATCTTAATTGCCGCATTTCAAACTGTCTCTTTGAGGCGCAGCCAGGAACTAGTTCTGTAGGATGGCGAGTGGTGGGGTCGATAAACCTCCATCGTTTAAATCTCCAGTTTGGGAACATTTTGGCTGCCCAGTAGATTACAACGGCGATGGACAGAGAGTAGTGGATAAAACGGTAACAGTATGTCGCTCAACGAGAATAGCCTATGCAGCTGCCAACACCTCAAATACGTTGACACATTTACGCCGACATCACCCCAGTATACCGGAGCAAGACGGAAACGCAGAGAGACAACACAACACCGTCCCCCCTCTGCATTTAAGCAGCACTTGGCAGCTGATTCTTACCAGGCCAAAGAAATTACAAGAGCGATAGGTAGGCTATGTTTATATTTTGTACAGTCTTTGGTTTATAGCCAAGGATATGCGCCCGTTCTCGGCGGTTGAGAATAGGGGGTTTTAACACCTCGTGGAAAGTGCTTGAGCCATGTTACAAACTTCCCTCTTGCACCCATTTCAGCAAACAGGTAGTACCCGCTCTATATAAGCAGGCCAAAGCCGAAGTTTTCAATGAATTGGCCAATGCACCCTGTGTAGCGCTTACTTAACAGTGATAGCCCGTCACATTACCCCAGAGTGGGAGATGTACTGTGGTACAGACACGCCCCCTTTATGAGAGTCACAAGTGCACATCTGCCATTGAAGGAGGCAGTGTCATGGTGCGTTCGTAACCAATATGGAAGTGGGAATTTACCACATATGGCTGGGAAAGATCTACTTGAACAGCTCTCCAACTGGTAATTACCAGTGGGAAACTCATGCTGAGCACCCACTTCTCCCACATGGTGACCTCTGACGTCACCTACTAAGGAAATTGCCTCTATAACAGCATTTTCAGCAGTTAAATGCAACAGCAAAACAATTTTTATAAAAAGCATTCTATTAATGTGGTTTTTTAACTATAATTTGTTTACAAGCATGATGGCTGTACTTTTAGTTAATGGTTGACGCAGCTTGTTGGCCATTAGCCAATCGCCGTTTCTCAATGAGTTCAAATCACATGAACGCATCCAACTGGTATTTATGACTTCACAACTGGTCAATTCCCACCTCACATGGTTACAAATGCAGCATCAGAGTGGAAACTTGAGAGGCTCAACATAACAATCCGGTCACAACAGACAATGCTAGAAACATTGTGAATGCTGAACATTGTGAAAAGCATTTAATTTTCCCGCTGTACTGAAACCGAACCATGACCCCCAAAACCGCAATACGTACCGAACCGTGGGTTTGGTGAACCGTTACTAACTATGGTTTAGTAAAGTAGGCTGAGTTCAGGTTGTATGTCAAGACTTCAACCATGCTCCTGAGCCCTGGGTTTGACGCAACGCAGCCAAACATACGCACTGTCTGTGTGTTTGTTCTGCTAGACCTGAGAGTGTTGTCTCAGCCCTGTCACACATGACCTTTAGAGAGACGCTGTAGTGGAGTGTAGAGAGACGCGCGCGCACGCGCACACACACACACACACACACACACACACACACACACACACACACACACACACACACACACACACACACACACAGGTAATGATGTCACTACTTCTCTAGCCTTATCATTTCCTGAGTATAGAACGACAGACAGGCTGACAGACTAGTAGCTGCTGAACCTGAGAAACCCTGGCTGCCTCCCAAATGGCACCCTATTCCCTCTACATTGCATTGGGCCCCCCATAGGGCTCTGGTCAAAAGTAGTGCACTATATAGGGAATAGAATGCCATTTGGGGCACGGCCCCTACCTGCTGCCGAGGCCCGTTCTCCTTCTGAAGTGGGTTTGTTGTGAAACCAGGAGCCCACCCATTCCACATTCACACTGTTCAGTTAGCTTTCAGTCTGAGCTCGGAGAAGAATATATCATATGGGTGTTACTGAAACCCCTCTCTCTGCTCTGCCTGCCTGGCCTGCAGCATTCCATAACACACTGTAGAACACACACACACACACACACACACACACACACACACACATATATACATATATATATACAGTGGGGGGAAAAAGTATTTAGTCAGCCACCAGTTGTGCAAGTTCTCCCACTTAAAAAGATGAGAGAGGCCTGTAATTTTCATCATAGGTACACGTCAACTATGACAGACAAATTGTAGAAAAAGAATCCAGAAAATCACATTGTAGGATTTTTTATGAATTTATTTGCAAATTATGGTGGAAAATAAGTATTTGGTCACCTACAAACAAGCAAGATTTCTGGCTCTCACAGACCTGTAACTTCTTCTTTAAGAGGCGCCTCTGTCCTCCACTCGTTACCTGTATTAATGGCACCTGTTTGAACTTGTTATCAGTATAAAAGACACCTGTCCACAACCTCAAACAGTCACACTCCAAACTCCACTATGGCCAAGACGAAAGAGCTGTCAAAGGACACCAGAAACAAAATTGTAGACCTGCACCAGGCTGGGAAGACTGAATCTGCAACAGGTAAGCAGCTTGGTTTGAAGAAATCAACTGTGGGAGCAATTATTAGGAAATGGAAGACATACAAAACCACTGATAATCTCCCTCGATCTGGGGCTCCACGCAAGATCTCACCCTGTGGGGTCAAAATGATCACAAGAACAGTGAGCAAAAATCCCAGAACCACACGGGGGGACCTAGTGAATGACCTGCAGAGAGCTGGGACCAAAGTAACAAAGCCTACCATCAGTAACACACTACGCCGCCAGGGACTCAAATCCTGCAGTGCCAGACGTGTCCCCCTGCTTAAGCCAGTACATGTCCAGGCCCATCTGAAGTTTGCTAGAGTGCATTTGGATGATCCAGAAGAGGATTGGGAGAATGTCATATGGTCAGATTAAACCAAAATAGAACTTTTTGGTAAAAACTCAACTCGTCGTGTTTGGAGGACAAAGAATGCTGAGTTGCATCCAAAGAACACCATACCTACTGTGAAGCATGGGGGTGGAAACATCATGCTTTGGGGCTGTTTTTCTGCAAAGGGACCAGGACGACTGATCCGTGTAAAGGAAAGAATGAATGAGGCCATGTATCGTGAGATTTTGAGTGAAAACTCAGCAAGGGTATTGAAGATGAAACGTGGCTGGGTCTTTCAGCATGACAATGATCCCAAACACACCGCCCGGGCAACGAAGGAGTGGCTTCGTAAGAAGCATTTCAAGATCCTGGAGTGGCCTAGCCAGTCTCCAGATCTCAACCCCATAGAAAATCTTTGGAGGGAGTTGAAAGTCCGTGTTGCCCAGCGACAGCCCTAAAAGATCACTGCTCTAGAGGAGATCTGCATGGAGGAATGGGCCAAAATACCAGCAACAGTGTGTGAAAACCTTGTGAAGACTTACAGAAAACGTTTGACCTGTGTCATTGCCAACAAAGGGTATATAACAAAGTATTGAGAAACTTTTGTTATTGACCAAATACTTATTTTCCACCATAATTTGCAAATAAATCCTACAATGTGATTTTCTGGAAAAAGAAATCTCAATTTGTCTGTCATAGTTGACGTGTACCTATGATTAAAATTACAGGCCTCTCTCATCTTTTTAAGTGGGAGAACTTGCACAATTGGTGGCTGACTAAATACTTTTTTTCCCCACTGTATATATCTCACATCATTCCTTTTAAATGAACGTATCAAATCTGTCTGTACTCAATTTCTAGAGCCTGTAGCCCCTTAACCCAGAGTTAGCCAATTACTAGTTTTAGCTGTTTGAATAGTAGCTAGCTCCCTCAGTAGTGAGTCAGGCTCTGGTCTTGTGGTGTGGACCCTGTGGTTTCAGGCCTGCTTTCACTAAAGCAGGGTTCCCCAACTGGCGGCCCGCTGGTGGTTTTATTTGGCCCCCCAGGTTTTTGGAGCAAAAAAATTCATTTATTCATTGTTGGACATAAGACTGTAAAAACACCAGGAAATCAGCTCCAAGTGATTTTAATTTAAGAAATCTGTTCCCAAGTATTCCAACGCATAATAGGGAGACACGTGATCGTACACAAATGTAAGGAAGGTTTGAAATGATTGTTTTAGTCGAACATTATATCTGTTT